TTTTGCTGGTGTTAGTGATGTTCGATTTTTTTTCTTCCATTCGAGACATGCTCGATATTTTTTTTCGGATTTGCGCCCCCCCCCCCCTGAAAAATCAAATGGTCCGTCCCTTAGTAGGCATGCGTGAATTGTTTCCCAGGATATTTTAATTTAATTTTAATTTTCGCCCAAAATATAACATTTAACAACATACATTATTTACAAATTTTAGGGCTAGGAACCTACTAGAAACTAAAAGGCTTTTATTTATTTTTTTGCTTTTAATGCATTAATGACTGAATAATTAATTAAACTTCTTTATAAACAGAGAATGAGTGACATTGTGGATTAACTATTTGCAGATCAATACAGTTTATGAAATAGTTTACCATTTCAAATGAATTGAACTCGCTTTCTGAATTAACAAAAAATAATACACTCACCGAATGCTGTGAAGAGTAAATAAAATTAGAGTACAAGAATGTGATACATTATAGATGCCTTTCCATAATGTATTGAAAGCAATTCTAACGAAAAGTAGTCAGTAGGCGTTAACCAATGTTAGTTGTTCTTTTTCAATAATACAGTACATTATTATAATTATATTGCAATTTTAAGTATGCCCCACTCCTAGCTCTCAACCGCAATTTTTAGCATACCTAGCCCTTTAAAATTACATTGCAAGTGCCCATTTGCACAAATGCCTGGTATGACAAGGCTTTTTTTAAACTGACAGTGAAGATGGCTTTTTAATGAGAGAATCAGATCCTTCAAACCTTAAGTAAATGTTTGCGATAATTCTGAATGGCTTTATTTTAAGCTAGCTCTAACCAGTATAATCCAGGCTTTATATACATCACAACAAAACCATGGCCATACATGCACATATCCTTGCATGCCATGTTATCTTTCACATTTTCGGAACCAATATTCTTCATTACGAAACATTACGAAAATTACGAGTCGCGACGCAAGCACACTGACAGTGATTATGACGCGCATTATTGTGCAACTTATAATGCAAATAACATATGTTCACAAAAGAACTCAGTCAACCCACCATTTGTTATGTACGATTGACGTATATGCTGTTTACATATGATAGTATTGCAAGTAATTGCGAAAATTAAAGTCGGCTTTAGGAATGAAGGACTAATCAAGTCAAAGTTTGGTTGCATGATTTACGCTCTCAGTGTGTTGGGTTGATTAATTAAGAGAAGATGATAGCAACTAACGAATATCATGCGTTACAACGCAAAAACCGAAAGAATAAAAGTGAAATGCAAGCGTCTCAAGAAATGGTCAATGCTTTTGACAAGATAAGTGAGTCTGTAAGGAGAGCTCATAATGTTAACCGATGTCAACAGGATCATCTCCACAACAAAGTATCGACATTAGAAAACGAACATCGAAAATCCATGGGTTTACTGGCACATGAACAGAAACGATTCATTCGGACGCGAAAGTCTTCAAATATCCCACTCAGACCAGAACACAAGATGTCAAACTTTAGCGTGGCGACTGGAAAGGACGGCATAAAGACATCATTTTGGTTACCCTCACTTGTGAATGAATATCATCTCCAGGATGACGATTATGGTTCTGTCGAGAGCTTTAAACGACATGCGTTGAATAGAAAAGGATTTGTTGGTTCAAAACATCGGAATTCAGTACAAAGGCAAGACATTACTAAACGTATTCACTTGCCGTCAATACATGAAACGCAATTAAACAAAGCGGGGCAGTTAAAAGAAAAAGATGTTATCGAATCTAGGCGAGGTCCCGCAGATAAATGGACGTCCAGAAATGCGGATGTCAGGAGAGATACTATAGACAAACAACAGTATGTCGCGTCGTGGGACATAAGTGCAAATGAAAAAACTTCTAAAACGACTGGTAAAAGTTACAACAATTTAGACAAAACACCATTAACACTTAATAATTCTCAGCTATGCATGGATGAATCAACCTCTACAAAGCCAAAGACACACGCTTACTGCAATGACAAAACGATTGCTGAGAATCCTGATGGGGATTCCAACACGGCTTTCAGCGTAAGAAGCAAGAATAGTACAAAGAAGGAATATCCAAGCCTATCAAAGAAGAAATTCCATTTGGTTCGTAGTAGCACAAACACAACGAGTGAACTTGAATCAATTTTAGATAAGACAACAGAAATCCGAGTTAAGCAATTCCTCAAATTACCCCCAATAGGAGGAATACATGAAAGTCCGTCGCTGGAACAACCACATAGCGACGCTAAAAATCTGAAATCAGAGTCACTCGGCAACAGAAGATCAAGTCAAGTTAACCTGGATATTTCTCTGGATATGCGGAGACGAAGACCTAAAAGTTCATTGTGGAAAAATCTTGTTCATTGTAGGTATTTACGTTTAGGAGAACAACATGTCCATGAGCACGGAATTACGAACAAGAAATGTGAGTGCAACTGGTGTGCTATGATGAGAAAATCAGAAACGTGATCAGAAAATGCTGATTGGCAATCGCTCATTAGTTTTATGTTCGACCGAGTAGGTGAACGAATAAAATCCTTGAAGAAATGTATTTCAAGGAAAACGTGTGTTTATAATACTTTAATAATGCAAAATATCTTAAACGGGTGGTTAGTATTCAGAAATAAACTGAGTAGTTTTCAAGTCTGACCTACTTGAAAATATTCAAAAATGGTCGAAGTTACGAGCGAAGGACCTTCGTAAGGAGATAAGGCCGTGGTTTGGGTTTCAACTTCGAATTGGAGAAATAATAACACTTCGACGTTTCCAGCAAAGGTTTCATCCTTACGATAAGGGCTACTTTCAATTCTGTCGGAACATCGACGTGTTTTTCAGTTAGTTCAGGCAGGGCGTAGTAAATCAGGGTTCTCCCAGGACGTAGCTTCCTATTGCCTACGATTGACACTATTTATTATCTGGAAAATTCCCTACGGCTACGTGTATAAATATTAAAGCGTATAAAGTCTATGAAGTGTTTGGATCAGTTTGATTTTTTTATATATATACAATTATGTACCGGATAAATAATACACCGATATCTTGATCATAAATGCAATGGAAACGAAATTTCAAGCTAGCAGTTAGCGACCATAATTAGCTGAAGTCCGAAGGTAAGTTTTTTCACTTTTGATCGACCATGTACAACGCTATCTGCCGGAGGCAACATTATCCTCTGTGACAGCAACCTATATCATAAATTGTATTAGAATTTACAGGAAATCATGCAATACCTGTGAGGTTCCAACTTTTTGAACGCTGCATTTAGGATTGAAACACACTACATGCATGACGTCATTATAATCATATAACGTACAACGGAGCAATGGGTAAGGGTAAGGGGGGGGGGGGGGATTTCCAACAAGGAAATTAATTATTGCTGTTCAAGTGATCTACTAGTTATTCAATAATTGATTTAGCGGGACCTCTTTTTCAGAACGTTAACAAAGTTAGCGATTCTGATTCTAAATTGTAAATTCTCAAGTCTGTTGTTTTATAATTAGAATAAAGAAAGGAAGAATAAATGGATGAATGATAGAGGACAAATGAATGAATTATCGAAGAACGAACGATAATAATATACATAAAATATTACTCGACTGTGATTATTTCATTTCAGTGCAGTTATCAGTTCCCAAACAGCAGTACAAAAATTTGTAACAACAGTGCTAGATCTGTAACGAACTAATCTGATTGATGGATAAACAGTGGGATCAAAATGAAGTTAAGAGTAGAAGTTAAGTTTGGGGCGAAAATACGGCTTTTGTCTTTTCCTACCAATGGAAAAGACTTTACCGTAAACAAGGATAACAAACAATGAAAAAGTTGAGAAAAATTTTCAAACCGTAAGTGTTGTAAAATGTGTTATAACAAAGCAGGAAAACGTTATCAGTGGACACGGTTCGCTGTAACTGTAAGACTTATAAAGTTAAAACTACAATTTAATTATCTTAGAGTATGTTTATATATATTATTAATACGTAATAGGATGGTTTCTCGTGAAATTTGAGTAAAACAAGCACTCGCTCTTCAGTTTTTCAAAGACATCAAAAACTCACTCGTGCATGTTTTATCCAAATTGCACTCGAAACAATTCTATCGGCCTATTGGCTATAGCCTACTACTATGCTAGAAAGTAGGTACATTAATTATAACTCTGGGGGCCGGTTGTATAAAAAAGTGATTAAAGTTAACTATGATTAAGTGCAAACGTCATCCAATAAGAAGCGCCATTTGAGAGTTAATCACTATTTAACTACGAAATAGTGATTCAAAAAGAGATTAAGAGTTTTATACAACTGGCCCCTGATATGTATCTACTCTTGTTATAACGGTCCTCGTGTTCGTGTCACGTAAGCAAATAATTGCTTACAAACAAGATTAACAAATTAATGTTAAGCAAAAAGCTTAGAACGTATCGAGTCAGACTGATTGTTCAAAGATGGCTTCAGTTCCCTAATGTAAAGCATCTCGTAGAGAAGACACTCGTAGGCCTATACTTTCCTCGACACTTGCACAAAACCAATTTCGGTCCTTTTATTCATTCACTAGCTATATTTTTCGCGCGTATATCTACGTCTGAAAAACACTTAACTGGACTGTTCAAGCGCTTTCAAACACTGTTTTTTATAAATTCAATGGCTTTCAAGACCTAATCTTTTTCTAAAAATTATAGTGCTATAAAAGTGGGACTACGCCGCAGACAGGATTACGTCAAGAAAAGATATAAAGAAGATTAAGACTGAGTCTGAAGAAGTTAACATGGGCAGGTACTCACTAGGTAGGTAAAACTTTATTTTACTACGCTAACCCCTACAGCAAATTTACCCGAAAAATTTAGAAAAATAAACATACAAATACAGTTAATTACATGCAGTTATTACAATGACATACATATTAAATAGGTTATAGTAAATATTAATAGATTAAATAGAGAAGGTAAATAGTATGGATTTGAGAACTCTAAGTAGCCGCCAGGTGTCATACGTTTTTGTTGCTAGAGATTCTTTTCCTCTTAATTCATCTGGGAGATTATTCCACAGTTTAGCCCCTCTATAGCTAAGACTTTTTTAAGATATACAGTCTTAATTAGGCTTGGGCAAATGGAGTTCAGTGGAAGAGCCCCGCAAATTATAATGCTGGGAGGAAGACGTCTTTTGAAAAATATCAGTAAGTCGTAAGGGCGCTAGATCATGAGTAATTTTATACATCAGACTTGCCACAAACTGGGTTCTGCGTTCGCTCAGAGGCTTCCAGTTTAATTCATTTAGAGCAAGTTCAGATTGACCATGTTCATTTTTACGACCCACGATCAGGCGGTGTGCGCACTGCGACCGCAATGTATCACGGGAAAAAATTAAAAAAGTGGCATTTGCATACACACCTTGGTCGAGCAAAGGTCAAGCGACTTTACATAACCGCGCGTTTATTACAATTGAAATATGATGCTCGATGTACTAAAATGGGAATAAAAAATTTACTTCCTTTGTTGAAAGATGTGTCTAAAAAGAAACATCTCAAAGATTTTCACGGTGAAACAGCTGCTATTGACGCGTCTTGTTGGCTGCACAAAGCGCTTTCAGTGAGCTACAATCACTACGGCGATGATAGCAGGTAAACAATGTCAATTTTTATAAATATAGTGTGTTTCTTCATAGTTAAAGGTTTATTTAAAGCAGTAAAGAGTTTATGAACTTTCTGCTTTATTATCACATCACAGTTGTTTCAAGAATGTTTATTTGGGCTTTTATTTGACAGAACTATTGATATTTGCACAAGATATTTGGATGTTTTTTTGGTAAACGGCGTCAAACCCTTTGTTGTATTTGATGGCATGTTCTTGCCTGGTAAAGAACAAGAACGAAACAATCGGAAACGGTAAGCTAGCGCCACGATTGTATACCCACTTGTAAACTTAGTTTCAAAGGTCTACCATATTTTTGGCCTTTGAAACTTGTTCCTACTCACTTTTTCTCATTTTGGTCGGTTTGAGTATTTTAATTTACTTTCCAAGGACAAGGGAAGAAAGCAGAGCAAAGGCTTTACAGCTGCAGAATGAAGGATCTGTTAGAGAATCCTGGAAGATGTTATCACAGGCAGCGAGTATTGAGTACAAGCATGTAAAAGATTTCATTTGGGTAAATGTTGTTTTTGTAGTACGGACCTATTTATATATTTTGTGATGATTCTATAAACACTGTTATTACTGTATACAGTAGGTATGTGATTGTTTTTTAAAATTGAGTCCTTCTAAAACTTGCAGGTTTGCATAGAAAAGAAAGTACAGTACATTGTTGCAGCATATGAGTCAGATGCTCAGATTGCCTTCATGTTACAACATGGTCATGCCGGATTTGCAGTAACTGAAGACTCTGATTTGCTTGCCTATGGTTGTAAGAGAGTATGTATTTCATTAACAAGAGAGATTATTTGTTGATTTGGATGCAATGCTTGAACCCCATGGCAAATAGAATTATGATCAGGCATATTAATATTTCAGGGCACAGTGGGGGAGCATTATTTGTTGTTTAGTAATTATATATATATAAATGGGTTTTATACATGAGGAGGCATAGGTTAAGGGGCCAATAGGACCCAGAGAGCAAAACTGAGACTTTTGTGGTTTTATGTCCTATAGGACATATAAAAGTAATAGATAAATTTTACACATCATGGTCAAAGCCCCACCCTGAAACCTCACCCAGACCATATTGATTCTGGGAAATTACGTTATTTCTCAGAATTGATTAAATACTTTATAGGTCCCTTTTCCTGTGCCTCCTCACATATATTAATTTTTGGCTTGAGTGTAGCTACTGTACCATTGCACACAGGTTTGTTAATTTCTGTAGAACTACTGTATCGGCATGGACAGTAATAGATGTTGAATAGAATATTCTTAATGTGCAAAAAACTTGTCAAAAATACTTTGATGAATTTGTCAGAGGTTATCTGGTTGTAACAATAATCATGTCAAGTGGTGCTGCTGCTGATCAAGCTTAACCATTAAGCGGAACTGTGTCCCAGTGTACCCCGTCTTTTCACCCTACCTTTAGCCAAACCATTTTACTCATCAAGGCATCTTAATTGGCTTGCATCTTAATTTTGTTTACATGTCAGGTTTTTTACAAGATACATCTCGATGGTCAAGGAGAAGAAATAGTATTAGAAGATGTTCTACAGGCATTTGACATATCTCAAGACAACTTCCTGAACTGGTGCATTTTAGCTGGTTGCGACTACCTTCCAAATTTGAATGGAATTGGCATAAAGAAGGCAAAGCAAATAATTGATTCCAAAGATGACTTCTTATCAGTTGTGGAGGTATTGGATATAGCACCTCCAGACTATAGGAGAAAGTTTAATGAAGCAAAAATGATATTTGTGCATCAGACGGTGATTGATCCTGTAAGTAAAAAGTCGGTTGCCTTATTTGAATGGGAGGATACTGTTGAAAAAGAAAATAACCAGAGTCAATGTGGAAAGTATCCTATTACTAAAGTTAATAAAATATAATACATAAAATATGATACTTTACCTTATTACCTTGACATTGTTACAAGTCAGTTAACAGCAGAGTTAAGTTATGCACTGGCGATTGGAAATGTTGATCCAGCAAGTCCGGATGTCATAAATGCAATCTTTCCAGCAGCATCGCAGGTAAGCTTAACAGATAACAACTTCTAGCAACAGTCAAATTATTTAATTTTATTTTGTTAACTTTTGATTGAATAATGTAATCTGTCATTCCTGTCAAGTAATCATCAAATTGATTGTTTTATGTAAGATGCATGTCATATGACCAGGAAGTGTCATAACTTCCTCTGTGCTTGATTGTCACACCCTAGAATACCAAAAGTATCAATTTTTTGTTTTGACAAGTTACTACTCCATAGGGTCTCCTGTAACCTCTACCTGTTAGTTAAGGAACTTTTGTGCCCATTAGGCCCAGTGATGACAACGTTTTGGAAAGTTTTAAAATTGTTGTAGATGATTTAGCCATATGTTTGTGTATATGTATATTGTTACAGCAAAGGCCATTTTAAAAAAAATGTTTTTTATAAATGTATTATAGGCAGAGAACCCACTGCATATCAACATAACAAGATGTGATGAAGAAATTTTCAGTTGGAAAATACCTTGTTTTCCTGTTATGTCTGTTTCACTACAAAAAGTCAAATTTGAATATGTTAACCATCAAGGGATGTCCTACAATGGAGTTGTGTCTGCAGATAAAATGGTTGACACTGGTTTTTGCATTTGTACATCATCATGTGAAATAACCATCAATGGCAAAGCATTCAAAGTGTTATGGACATTTGAAGGAACTGTCTCATCAGATCTGGGAACTGAACAAGAAGCAAGAGAGCAAAAACATGAGATATTTGAAGAAACACCTCATACCCTGCCATTCAAGGTCATGGGGACATGCTACGCGACCGAAAGACAAGATGCTTTAGAGAAAGCATATGAAATGCTTTATGATTTTAACAGGCCAGTATTCGTTCGACTGTGCCCTGAACCAGAAAATAATGATGATCCAAATGCTATAGCTGTTCAAATAAACTATGATGAAGACGAACCATATTATACTGTTGGCTATATTGCCAGAGAATTAACAAGATATTTGCACCCTGTTATTGAACAACTTGAAGTATCAATCCACAACATTAGATTTTGTACAACCTTTCAACGAATTGGTTTTTACATTGCTATTAACATCACAAAACCCTGTTTATGGGATGAACACGTTGTGGCAGCTAGCAAAAAAGTTAAGTAATGTGCATATACCTGTAAGATATTAAAGACAAAATTTGTTTCTGTTTCGTTTCTGAACTAGTGAAATATGTTCTATTTCATTTCTGAACTGGTGGGGGTAATGCAATTGGTGCCTTGTGAAATTGTGCACGAACTGTCAGTTGGCCTTTCTGTGGTAATGAAGCCCTGTTAGAAACGAAAATACCAGGGTCTCCCCTCCTTGAGATCTTAATATTGTAAGTCTTTCCACAACTCCAGGCCCTGATGGTTCATTAAATGAAGGAAGTTGGAAATCAGTGTACCTTTGTTTTGCTCCCGTGTAGTAGAAGAAGGGAAAATCTGGGTCAATGCGTTTCTTGAATTTGTTGAGTATCTTAGGACACTCGTCATAGAACTGCTTCATGTCGAAAACAGGACCAAACACTTCATGAAGGAGAGACATTAATCCTTCTACATCATCAGTTGAAGATGACCGTGGATGCTCGGGAGGAAGTCCTCTTTCTAAATATTCTTTCTGGCGGATAATACGGCTCTCAACATTGGCCACCAAGCCAACAACAGTTTCTCGCGATAGTCCACAAATTCCCTTGATAGGTCTACACTAACATTAAATACGATAAAAGTAATTAGTACTAAAATCTAGATGTTTTTCGTGTTGGTACAGTAGTTCTTATTCTGTTCTAAAGTAAAGTTGTACAACAGGATGAAAACCTCGTGTTCAAAGCTTAATTGTATGTGATGTTACACATAAAAATATTTAACAAAGATACACAGACTGCTAAATTGCCAGGTACAGTATATGTAATGTAACTTATGGTTCATTAGTAATCTTTGTTAAAAATCTGAATATGTAACATCACGATAAACCACTAAAACCAGTCTCAACTAACCTGTTCACGTCTATTGTAGAGTAATCTTGGATGGTCATGTGCCATGGCATCCAATCATCTAGCAACCAGTTCTTAATGTCTTGAAGATAGGATAAACGTGTCTCATCAGATAAACCTCTTCCATCCACCGCGCGATGCCAATTCCGTAGTACAGTCAGTACCCTACTATCACTTAAGTGCCCATTCTTTTCCATAAAAGAGATTACTCCCACGGAGATGATCCTCTCACAGTCTGGCACCGACTGCTTGTTTTTTCCAGTAAGTGCTTCATATGTTAAGCCAGTTGATGTATCATGTAGCGCGTCTCGCATGAATCTTAGATCTATTCCTGGTATGTTTCCCTCTTGGAGGCTAGCAACTATTCTTTTGAGTAGATGGTTGTGGTCCTCTCTTTGGTGGACACGTTCGCCAGTTTCGTGATCAATCTCAGGCTGATAGAGAAATTTACTGAAGTTAGCTGGATCATTTGCAAGATTTGCTAGGCGTCCTATTTAAAACCGGAACAAATATATGGCCATAATGGACTTCATTATCTCCGTTGTTGTTTCTTTTCTTCCTGTCAAACAGATAAAATGAAAAAAAAAATACAATACGCAGTAGACCTCAGTAATTGCATCACAACTACATGAAATTGAGGCAGAGGAGCAAATGAATAAGATTTCCCTCAGTAGCCTCACTACCATGTACTTGTCTGTTAGAAGACAAACGTCTGCACATGTATGAAAAGTTTTCTATTTTCATTATTGTGCCATGTTACATGAACTTGCCTTTAATCCATGGGTGGGGATTGTGATGGAGTGGAAAGAGGGTTCTGCGCATTATCAATAGAGCATTGTGCAAAGGTATTTGGTCATCTCTCCCATGTTTAATGAAGTTGTACAACCATTTAACATCCTCTGTTGGTATTGCTGGATGCTGTTCTATTGGAACCCCTTAAACAAAAAATAAGAGCACTGATTAAATAAGGGAACATATAGAATAAAGAGATGATTGAGTACAATATACAATACTTTATCGTTTATTAGTTGCTTTTTACCTAATGGCCTTGTTTTCATGTTGGTTATATACAGTATTGTGTACAGAAGGGTAAGGATTGACCTGTAAATTTAGGTTTATATTCATGCAAAAAGCATATGCTTATATATAGGGTATAACCTGAACATGCATGCGCCTGCCATTCTAAAACAGAAATGAGGCCATTTGTGAAAATGCAATAAACAGTAAGGTCTTTTCCATTGGTCCTGGATAAGAAATTGGCTGATAAATGAGTGCTGTCACTGCATTAAAAAGAACATACCTTGATCATTAAGTTTAAAATACTTGTTGACATCAGCAGCTTTTATACTCTTTGCAGAGTTTCGAGCGTTTTTAATCAACTCAACAATAGAGATTGGGCGTTTTTTCCCTGTTGTTCTCAGAGAGTTGAACTCTCCATCCGTAGTGAAACCTGTTAATATGCAATATAAAATTGACACATCAAATTTTCGATTAAATCAGACTTGATGGTTGCTGAATTAACCGTCAAGTTCTGAGACAAACACAATCTGTGATTATAAATTGTGAGTGTGCTTGAATTTTTTTAGCAAATACATCACTACACTAACCAAGACTGACCAATCAACTGAGTTTAACTAGATTCTTTTGTACATACCAACAGTAACCATGTCAATAGATTTCATTTCATTTTCCAACTCTTCTTCCAGCTCTCTCAGTTTCCCATCACCTATGCTTTGGTAAGGTAAGAATCTCACTGGTATTGCGTATGGTTTAGAATTTCGTCTTTCATCCGAGATCATAAACGCCATCAGATGACTTGCAGCAGTTCGCCTCTTGCTATATAAACCTTTGAGAAAGATGCAAAGTTCCCTCTTGAAATCCGGTAAGATTTTCTTTACTGTTGCGTCATCACCAAGGATTATGGATGTTGAGATGAATGACAACGTCGCCTGAACTTTCTCCAGTGTTTTCTGCAGTTCTACAAAGCCAATGTGTTGCCACGATAGCTCCATCATGGAATTTTCTGACAAATTGGTTCTTTCCAGTGCCTTCTCATATGCAATTCTTGCCTCTTTCTCACCACTAGCCAGAAACTCACCATCCTTGTTTACAGATGACAGTAGAATCTCACAATCTTCTTTCATCTTATCCCTATTCCTAATCTCTAGATTCTTGACGAATGCACACCTCTTTCTGTATTCAGCAAAGAGTTCTTCCAAGGTTTTATCACCTAAGTCTTCATCACCAGCCCACTTTCCAGCCACACTTTCCCGGAGACCTTTTCTTATGTCACAGGCATCAGCCTTCACCCACCACCTTCCATCTGGACAACTTTTTTGGGCATTTTTTAAAGCTTCAACCTGTAATTAATTAATTTGAAAAATTATATTGTAATGAAAAAAGTCTGTTTATAATACTGCCAGCAAGGCTAGTACCACAGTAGCTGACCACTTCAAAAGACCCCATCTAGAAGCATAATTGACCATTGGAGTTCAGTTGGTGTCTCCTGTACTTCTATGGTTTTTCCTGGGTACTCAGGTTTTCCTCCCTCAGTAAAACCATCACCTGGGTCTCAGTAAACAAGGAATGTAGATATAGGTCCAAGAGGCACCGTAAATGTAGGACTACCTTGTTAGGTAATTGATGTAAAGCGCTTCAGAATACCATATAATTATACTGTACGTATAATATGACACTATCATATCATTACATCCTGTTCCTTTCCCCACTTTATTCATTTTACATGTACTCATTTACTACGACAATGTTCTCCAACTTACTTGTATTTTTGCATTCCTGGTGAATCCTGATGAGACAATATTCTTCTGAATTTGCCTTACTCCCAAACACGCAACATTTGTTTTACTCTATGAAATAAACGTTCATGTAATCTAATGAAACACACTGTATACTGTCAAAGTCTTATGTACATGTATTATGTACAGTACACGTATCTTGGTATTAACCGTAATACGATACCATGTATATACAATTTTAACTACCGAATACAAGTTACTCCTATTTCATATTAACCCATTGAGCCGCAATGCGCCCCAGTGAGCCCTACTTATTCTTTTTACTTGTCTAACGCCAGACGATTTTACTCGTCAATGCGGAAGCTCTGCAGCTTAATGGGTTAAACTGACAATACTATGAGACAACAAAAATTCATTGACTCGAGCGAGAATCAAACATTCATCTTCAGGTTTCCAGACCGCCACTCTACTCGTTGAGCTTTTCAGCCAACAGGGATTGGTAGCGAAACTTATCCATTTTAAGTGCACAAAATATTGTCAGTTTAATACGAAATTTGCAGATAAAATTTTTGTGGATTTTATCAAGATTTTAATTTCTTTCAACCTTTATGGAAAAACAAAACTCATTGTTTTTATACACATATTCTGATTTTTTGACATATACCTTCATTGGATCATATAATCCACTATTACAACTTCGACGAGTACAAGCGTTTGGTGCAATATGGTGATGGTGTTCCATCTGCCTTGGTGATACATTACCATCCATGATTTCTTCAGTTTCACTGAGTGTCAATTGTGTCCACAAGTGAGATACGCTACTTCTGCGTTTTGATTTACAAGCAACTGGTAAATGAAGCAAGTTTATACCACTACTTTCCAACGCCATTTGAATCAAGTTTGCTCCTTCACTATTTGACTGTTCGTTTCCATTTGAATTGCATAAATACAAATGCATCTCATCTGTAATATCAGCTTGGATGCCACTATCAAGTATAGCATGTTCAATTATGCTGGTGGTTGAAGGGGTTTCAACTGGCATAATTGAGGGACTTGACATGCTGGTTTCATCAGAAACAGGAGAAGATTCACAGGTCTGTGCTGCGGGTTCCAAAACTGAAGCATTACTGGTTGAAGGGTGCCGCAAGGGGAATTACTTGATACCTTGCTTGTATCAAGTAAAGGGATAGGTTCACCTGATGACTCCATTCCAGGCTGGGTTTCATATTGCCAGGCTGGACCTCTGAACAAACTTAACCATTTATGACCGAAATGGGAAAACATGGTTTCAATCCAACTTGTGTAATGTTTTTCGGCATGTACACTCTGAATAGCATTGCATGCAAAGAAACGGATGTTGTGATCGATAAGCCCAAATGGCATCCTATCTAATGGCATTCGGGGTCGAGAATCCTGGTTGCTTGTAAAGAAACATTTGGACAGTAATAACACTAAATTAAATTTATTTGCTCTTTTTAAAGTGTTCATTGCATTCAAACTAATTTCTAGAAAGTCATGTTCTACAAATGAGCAAAATTCATTCCCCCAAATATCAACGATATAAAGTTTGAAAAGATAATTTATGAGTTGCTTCTTCAGTCTTGCTGACATTGAACACTTGAATGACTTCAATAGATTTTGCACGGAGTCCCCAATATTACTTGACGTTTGCCCAACTGGAGAACATTGGAAAATGGGCGAGAGAGACTCCAAGTGGGAAATTGTTTGAGATTTTGAAATTGGTGTGCTTTCCTTACTGTCTCTTAGAATGTCATCAGTGAACACATAGTCAATCTCTAAATCATCCTCAGCCTGAGAGAGGGTTTCATACTGCTTGCATAGGTGCTTTGTAACTTTGGATCTACAAGACACACCTGAAAGGATATAAAGCCTTTATTAGAACATTACACATTAATGATGTTAATATTATAAATTAACAAAATAATCGATCGATTGAGGAGTCAAAATATAAAAACAATTATGGGCCATTCCATTTAACATACACACACCCCTATGGACGACATTTTCCGAGGGGTTGTAGAATTTACGAAATTTCCAGGGGTATACCATAAAGCTAAAATATTCCGACGGATTTGAAAAATAAATACCTCGTACATGGGGATGTGTGTATTTCTTGGGAATGGCCCTATAAACATTCGCGAGAAATATACAAGTCCTACGAATATTTATCAAGCAACACAAACAATTGTGCAAATACATGTACCTGTTCGGTTAGATTTGCAACTAACGTTGATGGCTTGCGCGCAATTTTCCCAAAAATTCTGGTTTTTGGTAACTGGCCATTTGTTAGTCCATGCTTGTGGCCAGTAAAGACAAATATACTGGACGAGAGCTTTTACTTCATCATTTGACCAACTCGATCTGCTACCCGACTCCGTACTAGCTTTAACATTACCGAATAGAGTTTTCTTCGCTCTATTCGTCGACGTTGACCGCAATTTTGGCTCTGGTTTTCCAGGTGTATTGCCTTCAGGCGCTATCGAACGTTTCAGCGTGTGTTGTGCGGCAGTCACGTCTTCAGCCTAAAAATCGACGATTTACAAAGTCAGAAAAAATAACATTATCGAGGGGCGCTTAGGGACGCTTTACGTTTTTGTTAAAAAACAACATTTCTTCTACAGATATCATGTTTCATTAGGGTGTTTCGGATTACAGAAAAGCAAATATCAAGAGTTTGAGGCAATGATGTTTTACAATATATTATCGTGGTAATTTTTGCCCGGTTTATTTATCGCAATTTAAAACCCGCAAAGCATAGAAATCCGTAAAACTCTATGATAATCAATAGAATATAATCATAACTTGATGTACAGGGATAAAAATTTAAATAAAATACGTAAATAAGTGTATAACAAAAGCATAAACTTACCATATCTTAAGATAATTTTGCCATCGAAATTGAATTCCGCCTAAAATTAGGACCCATAATGCTTTGCGGTCGCAGTGCGCACACCGCCTGACCCACGATAGCTCTAGCAGCCCTTTTTTGTAATTTCTGGAGACGATCAGAAAGTGTGGTACCAATGGTGTCCCAAACTTCGCAACAGTAATCAAGGTGACTGGCAAAACAAGTACATTATAAGCACAAATTAATCTATTACGGTCAACACAAGATTTTAACTTTCTGCAGGATTGCCCCAATTCCGGATGAGACTTTTTTGGTAATTTTATCAATATACTTTTCCCGTGATAGAAATTCATCAATATAGACTCTAAGTGCCTTTGTTAAAGGAATAACCTGTGTGCAGCGCATTTTGAAGGTTCAAGGTTGGTCTGAATATTACACTCTAGCATATATTTCAAGATTGTTTTGAGTTTTATTTTACATGCACTTTGTGTCTTTGTGCGGTTGTTAAAGGACACAGTATAGTTATTGAATGTTTCTTTCGCCCGCTTAATTTGCGTAAACGGTAAACCGAGCGAAAAAGGCCTGGAACGTAATTGTGATGCTTGTCATCTTGGGAAACGTCTATAGAGCGTTTGCACATGACGTCACACCGCCATATGTTGGTGTTCCAATTCAAAAGAATTTTGATTAGACTCTTTTGTCTGGAACACCAACATGGCCCCATGGCTTTTGTTGAGTTGGTCCCTGGGGAATGAGTGCAAACGCTCTATTGGTTTGCTTATGCGTGTTATCAATTTTTTTTAGTTATGCATGGTAACGAAACGAAAGTTTGTGTTTGTCTGCCTGTGTTGTTTGCTACGAGCATTACTGTGCCTGTGAATGCGCAGACGAGCATCACCGAGCCTGAGGTGAATAATTGTTTTAGTATAATTTCATAGGTGATTAGTTGAAAAAAAATAAAAAATACACATTTCTTCGTCATTTAATTGACAAAACGGCTTCGGCAGCCATTTCGAAAATCGCTTAGGTGATTATCGCGTTATAATCACCACAACGGCAACCAATCAGCGTGGAGAATTTTCAATAATCACCTATGTAATTGCTGACGCAGCGAGCGAGCCTGAAGCGAGCGAGCAAGTCAGCAGTTCTAATTCGTATTGGGCTCTGAAAGTAAGATTTTACTTCCGTTTGTCCCATTAGAATGCACTACTGTTAACCGACCAGAATGCATTGCTGTTAACCGACCAGAATGCTTTGCATGAATGATGCTATAAATACGGCCGGGGAATCTCATTAGTCAGTTTATATCATTGAATTCAATGGTTTATATATGCCAGTAAGGCGGCAACGATGCAGTTGTTTTGGTGTATTGTATGGTATGTTGATTTCTGGCTGGTTTTAACTATACATACTGAATTTGCTTATTACAAACAATTTATAAGGCTTGGAAAGCGATATTTCTGTGTATAATTTAAACAGGGTACGTTTCGTCTGTTGACTTTTTGTTTGAATATGATTTGACTATAAGGTAATTGACACGGAGACATGCATGGCTCTCTCCTCCGCAGAGGCTTCTGTTGGCTATGATTACGATTAGTATTGAGATACATTTCACTGCACTTTACATGGCGGATCTTGGAGGAGACAAGGCATCAACAGTTCGGCCACTGCCAACAAATGTATACTACATACTATAGCATGGCATTTTAAAAGAACGATGCTTTGTTGCATGCTATTTCATGGGTTAATCGAACACTATACTGCGCATATAATATAATGTTATGCATGTGCATTGTTTACCAGGTGATCTTGATACGCGGAAAAGTACTGGCACTAGTTGTCAAATAGAAATCCATTTTATGATTAAAAGAACTGAATATCTCCTGTGATATACTTTATTGCGATTCCATATTTTAGTCAGAGCTATAGTCGAGGTTGAGCTATAGTTCTCATAACCAAACATAATTACAAAATTTCAACTAGTTTCATCACGGTTAATAGAACTTAACCGTGGTTTCATAAAGAATAACGAAAGAATAATTGACTGAATACATCAAAATGGATTTCTGTTCGGACAACCCTTTCTGAGCGCTAATTGGCTAAAATACGAATACGAGATCAACTGGTAAGCATGCAACGCAACTAGGGGCAAGTCAGAGCCAGTGGGATTGAAGCATGTGCATGGAATATTTTGTTGGGTTAGGATAAAACGCGGATACGGACGGACGGATGGATGGCGGACGGACGGACGGACGGATGAGTGGCGGACGGACGGACGGACGGATGGCTTCCAAAAAACGTTTTTCAGCCTTTTTTAAGTCATATCCGCGTTTTATCCAAAAACGCGGATATGGTCCAAAAAACGTTTTCCAGCCTTTTTTAAGTCATATCCGCGTTTTATCCAAAAGGATAAAACGCGGATATGGTCCAAAAAACGTTTTTCAACCCTTTTTTAAGCCATATCCGCGTTTTATCCAAAAGGATAAAACGCGGATATGGTCCAAAAAACGTTTTTCAGCCTTTTTTAAGTCATATTCGCGTTTTATCCAAAAGGATAAAACGCGGATATGGTCCAAAAAACGTTTTCCAGCCTTTTTTAAGTCATATCCGCGTTTTATCCAAAAGGATAAAACGCGGATATGGTCCAAAAAACGTTTTTTCAGCCTTTTTTAAGTCATATCCGCGTTTTATCCAAAAGGATAAAACGCGGATATGGTCCAAAAAACGTTTTTCAGCCTTTTTTAAGTCATATCCGCGTTTTATCCAAAAGGGTATCCAAAAGGATAAAACGCGGATATGGTTCAAGAAACGTTTTTCCAGCCTTTTTTAAGTCATATCCACGTTTTATCCAAAAGGATAAAACGCGGATATCGTCCAAAAAACGTTTTTCAGCCTTTTTTAAGCCATATCCGCGTTTTATCCAAAGAGGGCATATCGATGTGTATAAAGAATATTGAATATTGTCCTAGAATTTGAACAAATAAAAAACAATAATATGTCTCTTCGCTTAAATACTTACTGCGAGAGAAGAGTTCTAAAATTACAATTTAGTGTTAATAAAGTTTTAATTCAGTGTCAGTTATCTGGTATGTAGTACTCCAATTTTATGCCAACGTAATGTGCTGCTTTTTAAAGGCTTGGATGTCAATGCAGTTATCGGTTTAAATATACCTACAATTCGAAGATATGACAATTGCCGTACGGCCTACTTTCTATACGTAAACGCAAATTACAATTGCAACGTTCATCCTTAATTTTCTCTGTTATCTGGGCATGTAGTAATGTAATTTTATGCCACTGCAATGTGCTATTTTTCAAGGGCTTTTCAGTGCAGTTATCGGTTTAAATATACCTCAAATTTCCGTTAAGATATGACAATTGCCGTACGGCCTACTTTTACGCGAACGCAAATTACAACTGCAACTTTCATGCTTAATTTCTTCTGTTATCTGGGCATGTAGTAATGTATTTTCATGGCAATGTAAGGTGCTATTTTGCTAGGGCTTTTTAATGCAGTTATCGGTTTAAATATACCTAAAATTGCCGTTAAGATATGACAATTGCCATACGGCCTACTTTTACGCAAACGCAAATTGACAACTGCAACATTCATGTTTAATTTCTTCTGTTATCTGGGCATGTAGTAATGTAATTTTATGCCAATGTAAGGTGCTATTTTGCTAGGGCTTTTCAATGCAGTTATTGGTTTAAATATACCTAAAATTCCCGTTAAGATATGACAATTGCCGTACGGCCTACTTTTACGCGAACGCAAATTACAACTGCAACTTTCATGCTTAATTTTCTCTGTTATCTAGGCATGTAGTAATGTAATTTTATGCTAATGTAATGTGCTATTTTTCAAGGGCTTTTCAGTGCAGTTATCGGTTTAAATATACCTCAAATTTCCGTTAAGATATGACAATTGCCGTACGGCCTACTTTTACGCGAACGCAAATTACAACTGCAACTTTCATGCTTAATTTCTTCTGTTATCTGGGCATGTTGTAAAGTAATTTCATGGCAATGTAAGGTGCTATTTTGCTAGGGCTTTTTAATGCAGTAATCGGTTTAAATATACCTAAAATTGCCGTTAAGATATGACAATTGCCATACGGCCTACTTTTACGCAAACGCAAATTGACAACTGCAACATTCATGTTTAATTTCTTCTGTTATCTGGGCATGTAGTAATGTAATTTTATGCCGATGTAAGGTGCTATTTTGCTAGGGCTTTTCAATGCAGTTATTGGTTTAAATATACCTAAAATTCCCGTTCAGATATGACAATTGCCGTACGGCCTACTTTTACGCGAACGCAAATTACAACTCGGCAACTTTCATGCTTAATTTCTTCTGTTATCTGGGCATGTAGTAATGTAATTTTATACCAATGTAAGGTGCTATTTTGCTAGGGCTTTTCAGTACAGTTATCCGTTTAAATATACCTCGAATTTCTGTTAAGATATGACAATTGCCGTACGGCCTACTTTTACGCAAACGCAAATTGACAACTGCAACATTCATGCTTAATTTTCTCTGTTATCTGGGCATGTAGTAATGTAATTTTATGCCAAAGCAACGTGCTGTTTTTCAAGGGCTTTTCAATGCAGTTATCGGTTTAAATATACCTAAAATTCCCGTTAAGATATGACAATTGCCGTACGGCCTACT